TTCAGCTGTTTAAGTCAGCTGTGGCAACTATTACGTAACTATAATTGAATACACTAACATCAAAACATGATCTAAGCAGCACTTATGAAATAATGTTTTTTCATCCATAACTCTATACCCACATATTAAATGGAAATTTAAAGTTCTAATAACAGCTGTCGAGGTCATTCTGGTATCTTGGCTATTTATTAAACAGACTCGTTAAAATAATTCAGTGCCCTTACTGACAACTGAAAACGTGTAATGTCGCAAAACGTATTTTAACTGATACTCAAACCTTCATGACATCAATAATACACAGAAAAAACGTCTGGAATTCCTTGTAACATGGACACATGTCAGCGCGGTATAGTGGGACTCCGGCGTGTAACCCACGTTTTCAACCAGAATTACAGTTTTTATTAATGAATTTATAAAAACAATTTCAACTATATATATTTCTCATATCTGAATTGTATGTTCGAATATATACAGGGAAGTTTAACTCGATGTACTAGAATTGTGTATACATAAGCCGGGTACGCGTGCGACAACGCTATTCTGAGTTACACCACTCTTAGTCACGCGACTCATTGTCATGACGATGTGTTTAGTTCTGTGCCTCCACACTTGTTTTTTGTTGGTTCTATGTAGATTTTGTTATTGTCACAGCTTTTTTCGCTTTCAAATGCGTAGTTGTAATACAAGCCACAGTGTTTATAAGACGCGACCACCGCTTTTGTTGTGTATATCTATTTTGTAATTTACACATGTTTTTAGTGAGCATTCAAAACCGTACTTTTATTAATACCTTTACAGTGGTATGTTAAATTTGAAAAAAATAGTGTTAATATAATATTCTGTGAATACAAATAATCAATTTCAAAATAGGCCATCAAACAAAATCGATCACGGATGCTGGCTGAGATTGTTTTTTAGTAGGTGTTCTACGACGATAACATAGTGCTAGCTGTTTTAAATGCACTGAAAATAATGCAAACATTTAGAATGAATTACGTTTATTTACACTGCCAAGTTGTTCTGTTTCAATAATAATTGTAAAAGTATTGCCGGCAACAGCGCGAAAATAAAACAAAAAATAATATTGTAAATTTGGAGTAACGCTTTCTATTTTCACTCCTATAACAATACAAATCAGCGGATAACACATTCGCATGTACAAAGATAATTCGACTCTGAACATAAACACATATTATATATAGCTTGACAAACTCTCTAACTTACTGGCTATTGCAATTATTATTGGTTTATTAGATTTTTGTTACTGTATAATACGATTCCGAGGCATCATTGCATTTAAGAATTTTGCCGTTAGACCAGTTTTTTGTTATTCCTTGTTTCTCGAGTTTTTATAAGGCAAAAAAAGGGGGGGCGGAAAAAAAAATATTTTTTTTTTTCATTAGATTTGTGTGATTCTCAAAGAATTGTAAGTGAGATCATTGATCGGAGAGAAACAAATGATATAAAATGTTATTCCATGTATAACCTTGTCTCATCTGCGCGAGACTTCGGTACTTTGATTAAGATACTCCCACGAAAATGCAACTTGGATTTGTTATGCGACGGGCGGTAAAAAAAATGAAGATAAAAAAAAAATATTTTTTTTAGCATTTTTTTTTGCGCTTACAAGTTGGCGGGCGCGAGAAATTACGCTGAAATAAAATTTTAACAAGGGATAATAAAAGTCTGGCATTATAGTAATACACTCTGTCTGAAAGTAACATACCATCATATCTAATTTTTAACAAATTTTTGTTACGAGTGCCAGCAAATATATTGTGTAAAAACGTTCTAGTCAATGACGTTTTTATGATTCACATTTCAGAGTCGACGATAATGAATATCTCCACGACATCCGATGACCTATACGGAGTTCATGCTCTACAGATAGGATGTCATATTTCATTTATATTGGGTACCTTGTGCACCGTATGTATATCAAGACGGTGCTCTAAAGCGTGTTACCATGACAGCAATTTGTTGTTAACCTATCCCGCTCACAGTTTTAAGTGGATAACTTCCCTTCTACTTATGTTAGTATTAGTATGTAGCTGTGCCGAAGGAATCATCACGGACCAAACACGAAATTCTGTCACCGATGTGTGTTTATATACACCGCAGTTGTTAGCTTTAGTTAGTGTGCCCATAAGCTTGGTTTACTACCAATATATGGAACAGTGGGATCGACCGAATCTCGCATGGTTGCTAGTAGTATACTGGACAACTGGTATAGCATTTAAGTGCATGGAATTGACTATCATGGTTCGATCGATTGGATTACAGCCAAGTATATTACGATTT